AATAATAATAATAATAATAATAATAATAATAATAATAATAATAATAATAATAATAATAATTTCAAAATAGCTTATCATATTTTAATTCTCTACGACTTTTATCACCAGTATATTGCAGTAATATTAAATGTTACATACATGTTAAAACATGCACTACATTTACAAGGTTAATGATGTTAGCGGTCAACGTGCGCGGAAACACTTATCAATCAAGATGCATTCACGTCAAACCATTCTAGCTCTGGTTCGAAACCTTTTCAATGGAGTTCGCTGGTAGAGAGCGTATGAACCACGCTAGCACTCGAATCCAGTGGTGGACAAGGTAGTGCACTTAGCATTTCACAAGGGTAAGGGTCGTCATACCAAGAATTCAACAGGATGGCATACCACAGGAACACCATGCATCAGGAACATTCATGGTGCACCACACCCTTGCAGAGCTTGAATGTGGATGAGTGGGTGGACACCTTTCTTCTTAAGGCTCACTATATTTTTGATTTTTGCGAAGTTTTTAATTTGTTTGTCTGTACAACATTCAAAAATATACAAGTACTAGTAGGTCCATTTCTCTGGTGAACCACTATCAGGAACAGCCACATTTTTCTACTTCTTGGGTGACATTTATTGCACTTACACTTTTCACGTTTTACCATCTTCATTAAAAGGCATTGCCAAAATAATGGAGATACAGGAGTACAAACTTTCTTGTATTATTAATAACACTTGCAATTTTCGAAAATTGAGAGAATTCAACGAAAATGAGACTTGTGTCTTTTTAAGCTTCTTGCTTAAGCTTTGTTGCTTCTTCAAGAACACAAATTAATAAAGAAAATTTAGAGTTTTTTAGAAAATTTGAAAATGTTATGGCGTTGTGTAAAGTACCCATAAAATATTCGTTTTAAACTCGCGTGGCTTTCAGATACGTCAAATTGATCACGGAATACCAATTTTGGCGAAAAAAAAAAATTCTGAACAGTTTAATGCTAAAGTTATCCACAGAGCGACAGGCAGACTGTTTGCTCTCTACCAATTTTTCGGTATCAAGAACTTAAAAACAGGTGGATTCTGATTAATGTTAAGGGTATTGATTTATTACATATTGGTACAAGTTGTATCCATTTTGTCCCCTTGATATCAAAACCCTGTAATGCACGACATCTTCTCTAAAGCTCTGGCTTCACGTCACGGTCTCTCTTTCACCAACCTTCCCACTTTTGGCATTTTCAAATCATTCTGGGGGTTTCCAATTATCAGCCGGTACGAATAGGAATGCTAAACATTGTAAGAAGATTTAATTCTTTTACATACCTGAGGACGTTTGAATGTGCGAGAACCAGCTGCTGCAACTTTATCTGGAAGAAGCACGCAGTGGAGAGTTGCCAGCAAGCTCCATCCCTGCTTGATCTGAGCTTGTTGAGCAGTCCAAAGTTCTTCACTATCTTGTTCTGCTTTACTAGCCCAGCCAAGTGAAGAACGTGTAGCTTGTCTGCACATAAATAACATCAATGTTTGATTGAGTTCTTTTTTCAGCAAGTTCAAGCTAGAAATTAAGATGTCTTATAAGCACCAAAATCAAATACATTGTATGTAATAATTGAGAAGCATAAAGGAGTTCACAGTATCACTTTAAAGTCAATTAATGCAAATCTTGATAATAATAGAACCTCTTAGTTATCATATTAACATCCTCTGTTCTTATTGTTCCATGCATGTTATGTTTCATTCTCTCCTGCATCCCTTGCATGATTTTATTTTGAGGATACTTTATACAACAATGTAATATCTATATTACTAGTGGTACTGCAATGGAGCATACTTTCTCGCATTATCCCTAAATTTGCCGATTTCGAAAATTCAGAGTTCAACGAAAATGAGAGTTCTTCCATTCTTTTAAGCATCCTTTTCTTCCAACCGTGAAAAAAATTTGAAGAAAAAACTAAAAAACTAGAAGCGATTTTTGAGATTTTTGGTTTAGAAATTTCATAAATTTCAGACACAAATTACACAAAATTCCTTTTTTTTTTTTTCAAAAAATTGTACATGACATGATTAAAGAGCTAATTTTTTACAACAGACTTTGACGAAGGCAAAAATCTCTATCTTCAATTTTGTAGATTTAAAATGTTAAATTTTTGCAATTTTCGAAAAAAAAATGATGAGTTCGCCAAAAATGGGCATAACACCACTCCTTTCTTTTAGAAAAATTGTTTAAAACAAATAATTCCCCATATTTCGCGCAAAATTACACGAAAACTACTCATATTTTTCGAAAAAGTGAATACGGCCTTCTTTCATGATTATCTTTAAAGAACAGATTTCATGAACGAAAACGTCTTTATCTTCAATATATGGACGGACAAAAGGGCGGCCTGGCGTTCGGGGAGCCAGACGGACAAAAGAGCGAGCGGCCGGCCGGCCGTTCTGAGAACCAGACGGACAAAAGAGCGAGCGGTCGGACGGACGGGAAGGCAAGGGCCGGCGGACAGTTGGCTGGGAAGACGGACGGACGGACGGACGGACGGACGGACGGACGGACGGACGGACGGACGGACGGACGGACGGACGGTCGGTCGGTCGGTCGGTCGGTCGGTCGGTCGGTCGGTCGGCAGACGGATGGTTAATTGGCCTGAAGACTGACGGTAAGACAGATGGAAAAACAGAGAGACATACATTTCCCGACGATGAATCAGTTAAGGAAGCTGTAATGGGGTATATGCAGAGACAAAATGTTTCCTTCTTTTCTAAGGGTACTCACTCACTTAGGGCAAAATAGACCAAGTGCGTTGACGTCAATGGTGACTGTAATGAAACGGAATGAGGTGATTTTCAATATAAAATTTCATATTCATGCTCAGGTAGATAACTTATTGAACGCCCTACGTACATCCACAGCGGCTCATGTACGATTGAGTATGTTGACAGAGACAACTTGGCCATCTCGCCAGATTTGTTTTTGAGAACTATTCCTGCTTCACCTACTTTTGAAATTACGAGGCGCCGTCGGGATGTATTAAAAAACATCTATCTTGATAAATGAAAGTAATTGGCAAAATACACTGAGGTGACAAAGTTTTCCATCATTCGAGTTTTTGGTATCAAGGACTCACGAAACATGGATTACCACGGCCAACTACACCACGTATTAGAAATTTTTGTCTATTTATTTAGCAACTGGATTTACCAACTTTTTCCTTACCAGGGCCCTGTAATAAGAATTTTTCTGCTGAAAATTCGCAGTTTTTTCACGCATCATCATATAACTTTCTCTGTACTCCGTAACGAGAAAGTAAAATGTGTAGAGATTTTCACGAAAACTGCTTCCAAATAAAAAACAATTACTCACGTAAACTTTACTTGATAATATGGAACAGTTCCTATTTTCATTAAAATCAGTGGAATTTAGAAACTTGTAGACGTTAAATGTCTTTCTAACCAGCCCTACAGCTTTAATATTGAAGATAAAGATGTCTTACATAATGTAAATTATTCCTCGCTATCAGATATTCAAATCATTGTAGGAAAACTTTCTTGAAAACGATAGTGAAATGAAATTTCGAGTTAAAAAATAGTGTCTGAGGCAGTGGCGGCTCGTGCCTACTCGCACGTTCGCATGTGCACACCCAAATTAATTCGGTGCATTTTCTCTTAAATATCTCTAAAGAAGAGGGGAATACAAGTCCTCTCAGAGCATTTCCGAAACATGCAATTTAGTTGGGAAGCAGCGATCGACAATACGCTGCCAGTGCCCTTTGTGAAAGCCAGCCGGCGCACACTCGGGAATTGCGAACGAGTAGAGTGCGTCGTAGGCTGTCGCGAGGCTGGAGGGGAAAGAGGGAACAGTGGCTTTATGGCATTAGGTTGAGTGTGCGAACGCTACTGCGTCTACACAGTGGCGATCTCAGCGAGTGCCTTGATTTGTCTCGAAGAGATAACACTCAGCTAGCATACTGTTTGGAGGAGAAGTACGTGTGGCATTGAATGAAGGAAATGTGACCTCTCTCTCCAATGAAAAGAGCTCTGATACCTTCCAATAAAACAGTTCTTCGCTAGCGCTTGAAACGCGAAAGCATTGTCTGCAGTAATTCATTCATAAGATTTTTGTTAATTTTATATTATAAGAACATTCTCTAATATTTTGGAATGAGTGGCAATTACAAATCCATTTCGAATTAATGAAAGCCCAAATGCATTTTGTAAACGTATGTAGTTGGCTATTTTTTTTAATTGCGTTTTGAAAAACCGAAGTAAGTGTTCGCTTTTCTGTCAAGCGCAAAGAAAAATTTGCTGAAAAGAAATTGCATTCAATTGACTTTGTGTTTCGTCACACAGTGTAGACGGCAAATTATCTAGATGGTTTTGAGAATTCGGTAACTTGTACTTTTAGTCTAAAATTTATACAGCGAGCTTATGAAAAATACTCCATAGCGTAGCGAAATTTGCATAGTCAGACGGAAGAGCAGGTCTCATGGCCTGAGTCTCGCCACGTAAAATAAGGCAGCAATTCAATTCAAAAGCGCAAGTAAAAAAGTTTTGAATCAACGTGTACAATATAACTTTTAACACCCTGGAAAAACTGTTATAGAACATGCTGAATAGATACGCGGTAATCCGACTCAAATAGTAAATATTTTCGAGGGGCCCTTGCCAAGCGAAGTCGAAGAAGGTGTGAAAAATGCGGGCAACCCTAACCGCCGATGTAAGATACCGTTCATCATACTATCAGACTTCACAAGATGCTGTGTTTAATAGCCATGATTTATGTTAATGAATATATATGTGTGCACGTAATGTATACCTTTGTTAATGGGTGTGCATGTATGAGAGAGGGGGGAGGAAGGGAGAGAGAAGAGAGACGTTGCACACTCTAATGGTGTGACCAGGATCCTCCACTGGTCTCAGAGCAACTTCGGTTCACGATCAACCTAAAGAGATTTCCTTCGATTGCCCAACATCAGTGCCTGATGAGTTGCCTATCACGCAGGGGCAAATGTCACATGGATATCTTCGTTGTATGAAATATCCCACACCTCACATTCATTGGCAAAACGTTATCATTTTCGCTCCCCCCCCCCGTATACGATGTATGTCCTAGATATTTTATTCGCGTCAAACGAAGCGCAAGATATCGAAATGACAATTCCGATTTTTGTTGTTTAATTTTTCGAAAATACAGAGTGGACCGAAAATGAGATCAGCACCACTTACTTTACCATTCTTTGCTACATACAAGAAAAAAAAATCAAGAAAAAAATTTGGAGCCGTTCCTAAGATTGTTTTAAATTTAAAACTTGGCTGTTTGACGCAAAAATTCTCGTATTTTTGAAAAATTGAATACGACCTTATTTCAAAATCTGTTTCTGAAAGACACATTTCATTAAGAAAAAAATCGTTATAATTGTAGTTGTAGGAAGACAACGAAATAATTCTAAATTTTTGCAATTTTCGAAACAGGGATTTTGACGAAAGTGAGACCTACATCACTGTCTAAAGTGTTCTTTAGGCTATCCAAGGTCAAAATTTAAGGGGTCCCCGAGGCTTCGTGTAAAGTACCTCACAAAATTAAAATATGTTTCATATTCAAGGGGCCGCAAAATCGATTGGGGAATGTCAATTTAGGTGAAAATCTTGCTTACGGTTTAGCCGCTGGCGTTGTTTACAGATACACGTTTTGCCGTCAATCGATTTTTTGGTATCAAGGACCCACAAAACGAATTCTCACTACACAATGTTTTAGACGAAATAATTTTCTATGCAAAGGACAAGATTTATTCACTCTTTCATTACCAGGGCCCGGCAATAAAAGTTTTTCTATTGGAAATTTGCCATTTTCCCCTCAGCATTACAATACTTTATACTGCGTAAGCAATAGCGAGAAAGTAACAAGTGCTAAAAGAGCACACAATATCTCGCCCTTAGTAATACTATTTATACCGCAATTTCTCTCCGAATTAGCACATCTCAGTCATTTTCTTGTAAACCTTATTAATCGTAGAACATTAGGTGTGAAAACTAAATATTTTCAAGCCAATATCAACACAAATTCGACAATTATAACCAAGTTTCATCCAGCTAAATCATATCCCAACAATGAGAGGGAATTCACAGAACTACAACTGCCGCTTCACGGAGCAGAATGCCAGTCGCATTCTAATCTGATATTTCCAGAGGGCTAGCGATGCATATTTCATATTACCTTAAAGGTGCGTTTACACGAAGAGACAAAGTCTCCTAACTTCATGACGTCTCGGAGATAAACTCTCTCTGACAGCTTTACACTTGATACAAATGTCTCTCGATGTTCTCCGGCGCAGCCATCTTGAATAAGCAGCTGCGGGCAGTTTGAGGTTAGAATGTGACAACTGTTGCAGCTGCCTGTGCCACTTTCACAATTTTGAAGAAGCGGAGGAAAAGAAAGAGACAAGAGTGAGTGATTTTGTTTTCTTGAAAAAAAGAAGAACTGAGTATTTATAAAACTTTGATGGCGGA